CCCGGTTCCCTCAGCCCTGCCCGGTCCAGCCCGGTCCCCGGAGGATGAAGTTCGTGTACAAAGAGGAGCATCCATTCGAGAAGCGCCCCTCTGAGGGTGAGAAGATCCGAGAGAAATACCCGGACCGGGTCCCGGTGATAGTAGAGAAGGCTCCCAAAGCTCGGACAGGGGATCTGGACAAAAAGAAATACCTGGTGCCTTCTGATCTCGCAGCTGGTCAGTTCTACTTCTTGATCTGGAAGCGAATTCATCTCCGAGCTGATGATGCCTTGTTTTTCTTTGTCAACAATGTCATTCCACCCACCAGTGGATTGCCCAGGTTACCCTATCAATCCATCTCATTCAGAGTCTTCCTTTTCTGAACTGTCTGTCCCTCCACCCTGCCAGTTGCTCCTGGCCACATGTGAGATGGAGCTTCAAAATCCTAGCCCCTAAGGAGAAACTTGGTTTCATCCTCTTCAAGACAGACCTACTGCTTTCTTGGCAGTCCATGGTTTGTTCAAGACTCTTCTCCAGTACCACAATTTGAAGGCATAGGTTCTTCTTCTGTCATCCTTAGTCATTTTCCAGCTCTCTGATGCATAGGAAGTAATTGTGAAGACCATGGCCTGGATTATGCACACCTTAGTCTCTAGACTGACATAGTTGCTTCTCAGTACTCTGGAGAAGTCCCTGACAGCAGATTTTCCCCAATGCAATTAATCTTTTTATTTCCTGACTGCTGGTTTTAAGAGTGTTGATTGTGGAGCCAAGCAAGCTGTAACTGTTAACAACTTCAATCTCGTCTCTATCTTTGATGGTGCTGCCAGTTGGCCCAGTGGTGAGAATCTCTGTCTTCTTGATGTTGAGATTCAATCCATATTGAAGACTATAGTCTTTGACCTTCTGCAGCAAGCACTTCAAGTCCTCCTAGCACTTCTTTATTCTGGATTGGGAAAGAGCAGTTTCAGCAATTTAGGTGGTCCCACAGCCATACATAGAGATTATACACAGCTGGTACAGAAGCCTTATACAGCGCAGGGAAATAAAAATGAGAGAAGGAATGGACAAATGGAGTAACCGTAGAGGCTGTGTTCAGATGGTGCCTGTCTGGGTCTGTCTACAGGCTCTGTCTGTCCATGCACACTTGTGTTCCTATGTGGTTACAGCATCATTTTTCTCCTGAATCCTCTAAACTCCTATGTGCTGCCTGATCATCAAAGGTGTGGTATCAGGGCCCCTGACCAGGAGGGAAGAATCTAGGGCTTGCTTAACCCCCAAATCTGCTGCTGCCTGATCATCAGATCGGAAAACCACTTAGCTCAGTTTCCTTCTCTGTCAATGAGCCTGATCTCCCATAGCCTGAGATCTGCAGGCTAATGTGCTTTCTGAATTGTCAGGCTCTGGACTAATGCTGTCCTCATTATTAGAAGGATCATCAGCCCTAGACTGAGTCCACAGCCACAGGGGAGATGGGGCAGGGGAGTGGGCATGAAAATGGGGAGGGGATTGAAAAAGTGTTGGCTGGGTGGGCAGCACATGCGCCAGGCAGGCCTATGTACAGGCGAAGGGGCTCTTTAGCTGTCCAAACTCAGAGAGGCCCTACCAGCAGCTTGCAGTTCCCCTCCTCCAGCATCGTTGTGCCTGTGCCCAGCTCAGAGCTGCCTCCTGTGTAATCACATTTCACATACTTCCCTGACTACTCCATGAGGTGGGAGCTCATGATCTTGATTTTACACATGTGTAAACTCAGTCTCAGGGAGGTGACGTGGTTTGCAAAGACAGAATAGCAGAGAAGTAGCAGAAGTAGAATTTGGATTCTGGAGAACAGGGTTCCAGCCTCCAGCCCAAAGTCTGACCCCCTCAGCCCTACCTACATTCCCAAGTTCGGAGAGGGCCTACATGCTGCTCTGAGAAACTTGTCATAACTTGTCACTTCCTGGGGAGCCCAGCACTCTGGTGGAGGCATCAGGTCACAATGACAATCTTGGCTCCCCAGGGGCTGGTTCCCAGCCAAAGCCCTAGGATGTGGGAGTAGCATTCTATCTCCACTGACCTTGGAGCATAGTATCAGCCAATCAGAGAACCCCTTGAAATCCACGAGGTTCCAGGGACCTAGGGGAGGGGCTATAGAAGTGAAGGAGAGGTTGGCTGTGCCCGTGATAGACCCTAGCTGGGAAATACCATTAACAGAGGGCAGACATAGGCAGGCTTTGGGCACGAGTCCCAGGGAACTTGTACAGCCTTTCCATGACCGAACTGCAGACCATTGTCCACCGCTGATCTCCAGCCCAAAAGCCCAAGATGCCCTGGTGGATCATGAGCCCTCAAGGGCTTCATGCCACTCTGTGTGGGAACAAACAGGGACCATGGTTCCAGGCAGAGGCAGGCAAACCACAGTCTGACACTTCTGTCCTTTACCTGCTGTGGTTAGCACCTCCCTCAGCACAGTGCTGGCTGGGGATGGGGACAGGCCACAGGAAGCTGTGCGGACTCTGGGGGGATGCAGCTCAGAAGAGTCGGCCATGGGCAAAGAAGCAATGAGTATCCCTTCAAGTGACTACTGGAGACAAGGATCCAAGGACATTTCTGAATCTCTCTTCCAAGACTGAATGACCCCATTGCCAGTATTTTTGTTTCCATTAGAATTGTCCTAGAGTGTTTCCTGCTTCTGAATTGGGATGATTCAGGTCATGGTCTTCTCAATTACTTGTTAGGCATCAGAAAGCTGGACAAAGAATAAGAATGGTGGAAGAAGAATCAATACCTTTGAGCTGTAATGCTGAAGAAGAGTGTTGAACATACCATGGACCTCCAAGAGAGTGGGAGAGAGTGAAACCAGGCTTGCTCCTTGGAGGGAAGGATTTTGAAGCTGACTCACATACTTTGGACATGTGACCAGGAGGAACCAGTCCTTGGAGAAGGACATCATGCTTAGAAGGGTGGAGGGACAGTGCAGGAGAGGAAGAGCTTGCATAAGATGGATTGACACAGTTACTAGGGTAATAGGATTAGGTGAGTTGGAGCTGTGAGACTGGCTCAGGATAGAGCAGAGTTTAGAGCTACTGTGCGTAGGGTTGTTATACGTCATAGGTGACTTGATGACACATAACAACAACAAAGCCCCTAGGCAATGCAAAATGATTTGTGCTCAGCTGGTAACCAAAAGGTTGGCAGTTGGAACTGACTCGCAGCTCCACTGAAGAAAGGCCTAGCAATCTGCCAAGAAAACCTGTGGAACAATTCTATTGTGTAACACATGGAGTTTCTTAGGTCACAAATCAACGACAGAATTGGGAAGTATTGGGATTGGGAGTTAGGATTAAAATCGGGCTAGAATCAGGTTTAAAATGGGCTGGGATGGTTTGGGGTGCAGCTAGGAATGGCGTGGGAGTTTTGAAAGCAGTTTAGGGTGTTACTGGAAGGATTCACTTGTCCTTCCCACACCCACCCCACCCCAGAACTGAGCCTTTGGGAGAGGAGAAAACTGAGGAGGCAGTTGTGGCTTTCAAAGCCACTTGCTCCCGTCACTTTCTCTAGGGTCCTCGGTTGCTTCTCGGGAACTAGGAATTCCAGCATGGACCCCCAGTACTAAACCTGAGGGCAGGGCCACAGGCCAGGCCTCTTAAGCACAGAGAGGTTGAGAGGTCTGCCTGAGGTCTCTCAGCCGTGTGTGAAATGCTGAGATCTGGGCTTGGGTTAGGGGCTGGCAGCTCTTTTTGCTCCTAGCATCTCTAAAAAAGCAGTGCTAACAGGGCAGCGAGGGCGCAGTTTCTAAGCCAGGGACTTTTCTAAACTGAACTGGAGACTCGCTGGGGCTGAGCCAGCTGAAGCACTCGCTTCTTTCTCCTGACTGACCACAACTTGAGGTCAGCCCCAGGTCGCCCCTGTCTGTGGGCCTCTGCTTAGGGGTGGGGCTGACTTCCTGTCTGTCTGGGTCCTCGGCATCACTGCCCTTGTACTTGCCTGTTCACATGGTTACTTGGGCCTGCTTGACATGCAACCCTCAACTCCAAAAGCCTGAGCTGCAGCAGCACCCTTGTGGGACCCCTAGAGTCCTGCACCTGGAGGAGGGAGACCAGAGGTGGTTTCCCTCCCGCCACACACTGCGCAGGACTATTACTGTGATTGTCTTTGTGTTAAAAATGGGGAAACAGCTCAGGAAGGGTTGGCTGTGAGACATGGCGTGCCCTGACCTCAGCGCCCCTCCGCTGCTGGAGGGAATGGATTTGAATTCCAGGCAGCATCATCTATCTCCTTTCTGAATCTTCTGAGAGGCCATCTCTGACCCTCAGTCACATACACCACTCCCCTCTCTCCTCCGCAGCTTTCTAAACCAGGGCATCAGTCAGGTGCCTCTAGCCTTTGTCCTTGGCGGGTAGGGTTGGGAGGCACGCTGCCCGATTCAAAGGGTATGCAGGTGAAAGATCAGTCCCAGGGTCATTGTAGGGTTGAAGCTGGGCAAAGTCCAGAGCAGAAGAGGGGTGACTGCGGACTATGGCCTCTGGCCTGAGCTGGCCCCCTTTCTAAGTGCCTGTGGCACTAAATTCAGAAGCCCTCCCCTTCTCCTGGCTGAGCTGACTGAGCTGTTGGTCTCTTTCTCCAGGACATCTTCAGATGTGGTTATCCTCCTGTGCAGCTTTGCTCTGGGCACAGCTCCTCAGACCCCCAGAGCCTGCCTTATTCTCTGAAGGATTCAGTTCCATTATCCAGTTGGGAACCCATATCAGCGGGTGCGAGAGGCTGACAAGACAACCTGGACCCTTGGCTGGCCTGGACTTGTCACAGAGCCCCCTGAAGCCCCTCTCCAGGGAGCTGGTCAAAGGCAGACAAGCCTGATGAGGTGCTAATTACTGAGCAAATTGGAGCTACAGATGGTCTGGGTGGTGAGTGTATGGGGTTGGTGGAGGGCTGAGGATGACTGGCTGCAGTGGGGAGGGGACTTCTGACAAAAGCTAAGGAGTGAGGCCAGGGCCCAGGTCTGGCTCAGATCAGTGTTTGTTGAGGAAGTGTGGATTTATTATTGCCCATCAGCCACATCAAAACCCATCCTGGTCTCCACCCCTCTGTCTTGGCCTTGATTTTCTCTGTGAAAAGACTGTGCTCTGAGCTTCCTGCATGTCAGGAGAGCTTGGGAGGCAGGGTGCTCAGCTCTGGGGGAGTAACCGGGGAGGAGAGAGGCCCACAGCCCTGTCATGGGGCTCCAGGCAGCACTCCAGACAGCCCGTGTGAGTAGAGGAGATGTTGCTGAGCTGAGCCACCTTGGAGGGGTCAGGCAGGGCTCACTCTCTTTCTAAACTTGAGCTGGGCCTCGTTCCTCTAAGAACAGCTGCCTCCCGA